GTCAGATACCGACCCTTGGTGGAAATGAGTTTGCAAGAGTGAGTAAACAGGTTGAGACAAGTCGGAGAAAGGTTTGGAACTTGGTTATTTCGGAAAATAATTCAAACCACAAGGGTACTCTGAACGGGCTGTAAAGGGGAAGAATTTCTACAATATCCTTCAATAATTTGCTTATCTTAATTTCGCTTGTTTCCATACTAGGTTGAGAAACGGAAAGATCTTCGAGACGATATGAAGTACTGATACTCGTTTCATATAAATTGATTTACAGCAAAAAATCACTTAAGTTGACACTTCCTGCTTCTTTCTCTGCAAGGCATCTTCAGTTTTGACGAAAAAAAAACTGATTTATTTGTACTGCAAATGCAAAAGAGTAGTCCTCTAATTCTCATTTAGAATTGATTTTTGCAAAGTCACAAAGGCTTTTTTATGAAACCTGCCCCTAATGAAATTAAGGTATGATTCAGAAGCACGTCGCAAAGCTCAATGCAAATTTTTATTAAAGGTTCTGGGAGCGGAATCTTTTGTGCTAGGACTTGAAGATATTATTGAAACTTTCCACAAGTCAATTGCTCTTGCACAGTGCTGTCCACTTATTGCTGCCGCTCAGATTCTGTCTCTGAAGAACGCGTATCAGCTAGTCTTCCATTCTGAGAAGACACCACAGATAGAATTTGTATGTATATGCTGATTGCATTCTTCAAAATACCGTGGAAATATACAATTCAGGCAATTTCGAAACTTGATTCTTTTCATTAAGCTTTTTTTATTTTGGTCAGAATTCTTACAAGGGAGTCAGAAGTTGAAGTGGCCAATCCAAGCAAGCTGGCTACCGTTCGATGCAGCATTCAAAGCTGATTTTGTATCTGCATTCCGTATGTGCTTAGCGCCTTTTGAACAAAGTTATGAGTCGTTTTATTGCAAAAAATCGAACAAAAAATTGCGAACTTGAGCACATTGTTGCACTTTCAACCCACCTTTAGGCTTTAAGGACATAAAGACCTAGCTGCATGTTTTGGCCCAGCACTAAGCCAAACACACTCTTTATTGCCAAATTTACACTTTGCATGCACATTCTCTTAGCAAAACAACGGCCTTGAACGGCTCATGACTTCCACTCATAGGCGCTAAGCAGATATGGAATACAGATTCGAAGTCAGTTTATATGCTGCATCTAATGGCATGCAGCATGTTTAGATTGGCCGCTTCGATTTCACACCATGTTCTTGTCAACAAGAATAAGACAATTCTTGAAGAGGATTTCATAAAATCAAAAATAGCTTCAAAGCTTTATTCAATTCTTTATCTTATTCTGGTGCATCCAGATGATCCAAAAGCAATCGCAGATCATGTAAGATAAAATTTCGAAGTACATCATTATTGAAATAACAAAGGAATTTATAATTGCGCAAGTTAGAACGAGACAGTAAAGTTGCAAATTGTGAAAGATACTACGGCAATTTACATTGAAAACATAACGCCAGTATAATGTCTAACAAAATGAAGCTCTGGCTATCAAAAAGCAGATGAAGAGTGTACGCGGACTAGAATACAATTCCAAATTTGATTCTTTATAAAGTGCTAGCGACCCGTAGGGTCGCTAGCAAGTGGGTAGGTAGTGGGCAGATACAATATAAGGGCTTAGTTGTGAGAATATTTCTATAAGTTTCCTATGCCTTTGCTGAGAACATCTTTGCGAAGCATTCTACAAAAGGAGAACTGTTCGAAGAAGCAATAATCTCCACAAATCATTCAGCATTTCTCGAAATTCCTGCTGTAACCAAGCATGAGGTATTATTTTTCTCTCGTTTACCACGCTCTTTCTGCAAATTTCCCCTCCTCACATAGACATTCAGATACCCCCCCCCCCCCTCCCATCTTTTCTACCCTCTCAAAGAGAATTTGCTCATCCGGCTCTTCTCAACAATTTCCATGGAAGATCGTCAAGGAAGTAGAAAAACACCTATCGTTTTGGAAGTAGAAATACACCCACAACATTTGTGTACTACAAAAAACACTTTTCTCTCAGAATCAACTCCGACAGCAACGAAATCAATCGTCTAAGAACTTTGTCAGAAAATTTTTCAATACTTTCGCCAAAGGAATATGAAGCTTTACTACATAAGTAGGTCCCTCCCCGAAAAGCACATTACTGAGCCACCTAAAGACCGTCAATCATACTGCATAAACGTACAAAAAATTTGCCCTGTCCAATTAAATTTCTCTACGTGCCGCTTGAAGACCGTTCAAAAATTATAAAAACTGTCCCAAACGTACAAAAATCTGTTCCCCTGCCCAATCAAGTTGCCCTACGTGCCGCTTGAAGATCGTTAAAAAATTATAAGAATTGCCCCAAACGTACAAAAATCTGTTTCCCTGCCCGATCAATTTGCCCTACGTGCCGCTTACCGACCGATAATAACTATTTAAAAGAAAGTTTATGCCTATGTGCCGCTTGAAGACCGTATACATAAGAAAAACCAACCTTACGACTCTACGGAAAGAAAACAACGAAATCAAGTATTTACAGCGTATTCTCAAATTGCCTACATGCCACTTTTGGAATTTCAATTCTGAGAACTGCCCCAAACGCACAAAAATCTGTTTCTCTGCCCGATCGAGTTGCTCTACGTGCCGCTTGAAGACCGTTTAAAAATTATAAGAATTGCCCCAAACGTACAAAAATCTGTTTCTATGCCCGATCGAGTTGCCCTACGTGCCGCTTACACGATACCTAGTTGAAAGCACCAGCGGAACCCAGTTACACAAGCAAAGCAAGGCTGTTATTAGATAAACGCTTTCAGAAGTTCCAGCGAGGCTAAGTTACTCACGCGCTCTCTTGTCTACACGTGGAAGCAAGACGACCTTAAAGTGATTGTTCTTAGTTAGAGCATTTTTACAAGAGTTGGGAACTTAGATGAATTTAGCTCAAGTCACGCTGTTACGCAATTTGACATCATTTCAAAAGCAACTAACAGGAGTACAACATATTTGAAGGACACATTCTGGGACAACAAGCTCGGAAAAAAAGCAGCTACAAATAACCACCCGGACACCCGGACACTGGCGACCCAATCTCAAAATTATTGCGACCTCATGATTGCCTTTCGAAATACGTGTGACCCTTTTACGAAAATATGCTTGGTCACTTGTTTTGAAATTTGGCAGCGTTCCAAAACGCATGTCACTTGGCAGCAATCAAAAGACAAAGATCAGTGTATTTCATCATAATTTCTCCGTCTGCTACCTCCTCGTTTGCCGTGTTCCACGGACCAGGGGTGTTAATGGGTAAACAAAGATTCCAAAATATATTACGTAGTGATTTTACAATGTTTTGCTGTTTGATTAAATGCTTTTCGCCAAGACGAAATACAAGCATTGGTAGCAGAAAGAAGGGAGGGCTTCAATTTCTGCCAGATCTTGATTCTTATATTGATTTGTTTGAATGTGATTGTTCTGTATTAGTAATCGTGGGCCTACGTCACCAAACAGAGAGCCATACTGTGGTCTTTGCTACTGGGCCATCAAAGGCAGTTGAGAAGTTTGTGCTAACGCCTCGCGCGAGCATCTGCGCTGTCTTCGAGAAAGCTTTCACAGAAAACAGTAAAGCAGCAGCCTATTTTTCTGCCTGTTTCCAAAAGAAGTCAATACTTTCTTCACTGTTAACATGACCTTTACACAATTATTTGGTTTCGAACTTTTTTTCAGGTTTTTGACCGGATTTCTGGCGAAGGATGTCTCTGGAGCTTTTTGGAGAAAGTGAGGTGAGAGAGTTTACTTCTCGAATGAAGGGCATGCCGTTAGTTACGTCTCCGCAAAAAAAAAATTTTTGGAATACTTTCCAATTTTAGGATTTTAACCCTAAAATCCTGAAAACGGGGGCAGGCGGGATACCGTAATCGAATTTTTTAAAAAAATATTCGAATTCTTCAAAAATCGTGAATATCATTTCAATTACACCCAATAAAAAGGACACCACTTACGCTTTTATAGCTCAGGCTAAATTTAAAAAGTTCGCGACCAATTCCCTGAGGGAGAAGAGCTTCTCCTAGATTATAAATTCATCTCTCATTGAGTCGGATAGCACTACTTTATCTTGAATGTTGAGTCCAAAAAATGGGAGAAAAGTTGAGAACAAGACAAGAATCCAAGACATCCGGAATATGAAATATAGGTTTCGGAATAAATCGCTTGTGAAAGTGAACATGAAGTAGATAATGGAAGAATCCAGTTGTTTAACAATGATTTTTTTAAATCTCAGTGCACTAGTGGTCTAGCTAAATCCCATTGAGATGTCTGCTAACCCGTAACTATTCTCAAACGCCAAAAGCATGTACTTTGATTTTACAAAGCAGTAGAAATCAAAGTAAAACAATTGCTTACCACTCACCAAATGGAAACTGTCTGATCAGCGCTTGTATGAAATCGTGTTAGAGCATGTCGGTCGCGTAGTGGCGTTTGTGTAGCTGGATGTTTTTCAGAAGCACCGTAAGAGAAATATTTTTTTCTTCAAAATGGTATGAAGCGTGACATTCGCTATACTCGTTCGGAGGCACTTATTCGGAGATGTGCGCCTACTCAGACAATCACAGGCTCTCAGCGGGCCCCACCAAAAGCGTCGTTGCCTTATCGCAGCCACTGTCGCTTCCCGCTGAGCCCGCTCCGACAAGCTCCAACAAAACTCCGACAAAGCTCTCAACGGGAAGCGACAGTGAGGCGATGAGGCCACCGCGCTTTTGGTGGGTCTAGGCGGTGGCTGTGGCTGCCGGCTGAGAGCATTTGATTGTCTGAGTATGAGTGGGGGCGTATGTCAAGTGCAACAATATAAAAAAAATTGTATTTCATCTGCGCGCGAACAAAAGCCTAGTACCTCGCAATAGCTCTCAGAGATCAGGGATTGCATGCACTTTCACTGATCAACCTATCAAAAGAACAAATTGTTTCACAAAATTGCTCTCTAGGGATATAAATAGAGTTCAGCACCATGAGCTCAATAGAAAATGGCTTATTTCCGTACTGTTGTTGTTGTTGTTGTAAGTCCTGGATGGTAATACCTCGTCTTTGGCTTAAAAGAAATTTCAGCTCGTGCAAGTGTTGAGCGTTCTAGCAGATGATGATAATATACAATCTGGGGGCGATGGTACGCTAGGCGATACCGCTCCAGGTGGTGGTGACGACTACGACTATGGAGAAGAACTTGAGTGGAAAGACTGCGAAACAGACCTTGGGCCATTAAATAGGGATTTGGGGAATGTGTTCGGAGAAATGGTTGGAGGAGTGACATTTGTTAGTTTTTTTTGTAGCAGCTTATTCGTTTCAGACATCAATGTTGTTACTCCAAAGAACATATGTAGGGTTGACGTTCACTCATTTAGATTATTCAACTTTCAGAAGGTGGACTGCCGCGAGGTTGATGCTGCTGAAGAGTTCGTGGTTGGGGGCTATGTAAGATACGGTGAAAAGACTCATTTTAATCTTCGGGACAACACTACGTATGTTTATCGCATTCACTCATTGTCTGCAAGTCATAGCGTTCCACGGTCTCGATTACAGAGAATTCACTAAGGAGAATGTCATATCACATGTGAAGGATCAGGCAAACCAATGGGGAGTAAAACTGCGGGAAGCACTGAAAGAAGTTAGTAATTTAAAATTTTTAATAGTGCCAAAATCCTTTTCGTTGAGCCACTCAAGAAAGTTTAACTACAATACTTCTCCGAGAGCGCGTATGCTCCTTTTACAGGAGATTCCAACATTAAAATTTTTAATTTTACTAAAATCCGTCAGCCATTCAAGAAGAAGAACTACAGTACTCCCACAACTTACAACTTTTCGTACCATAGCGCTTACGCTCCTTCTACAGAGGGTTCTCATCCCATGTCACGGTAGGCGCGGCTCGGTCCTTAAGCCTCGCTTAAGCCAGTCAAAGGGTGCGCAACGTGTCTCAGAACATTTCCCGTGCTTGTCAGCCTTGATGCTTAAGAATACGGTATTTTCATGCCTCAAGCCTGGGAGAATATCGTATTCGCTAAGGGAAGCGTAGCGAGAATATCGTGCCCGCTAAGGGAAACGTAGCGAGAGATGCGAGCGAAGTGGCTAGCGAGGACCCGATCCGCGCCGATCGTCCACTCACAAAGAGAAGATGAGTCGATGGGCCGATTGAGATGAAATGCATACCATCTGGGAGCGCATGAAACGCTGATTCCATTTGTGGACGAGGAATTTTGAGCGTTTACTTGTGCAAGCAGTTGTGCGCCACCCCGATGAAACCGCTCGCAACATTTTCTAAACCTCCAGTGCAGCAGAGATGTTGTTAGGGTGTTTCCAGTAAATACTCTTATTTAAGTATAGTCTCACGCACCGCTGCCTTATTTGAGCTAATATAATTTTGAAAGCTGGTTTTATTCTAGTTGCTCATTTCTTGTACTCAAACCCTCATATCTCCTCGTCAAAAGCCTCCGCAGAAAAGGTAAGCAGATTTAGAATCAGCGCTTCATGCCCTTCAGGATGGTAGGCGTCCCCCCTCAAAAGGCCACTTCGACTTTATCCTTACTGTTAGATTCGGGTCCCCTGTGCAGTCTTTTTATTATTCATCTTAACGAAAATTTTCCGCACATCGTAAAGGTATTATGACGTTGATCACAAAAGGTTGCGTCAGTAAGATGATGATTACATGTACACAAATTAAAAGTAGGCAGAAAGCACTGTTGAGTAGTTTTCACTCAATCTAGTGCGCTTGCGGTACCGAGATTGTGGTAAATTTTGCGTGTGAAGAAATAGCTCGCTTGTAATGCTGATTCGCATAAAATGGCGCCTTACTGCTCACGACTTTTTTACCGAACCATCTCGGCACCGCAAGACAATATCTTAAGAGGAGAATTTACTTATATAGAAATTTCATTACTCCATTCACAATTTTCGAAGAAAGGGTAAGTTGCCATTTGGGTAAAAGAAGTTCCTGCTACCAAACCTGTAAACCTAGTGTGAGATGTTATGAGTGGTTTGCAAAAATCAAAAAAATTATCTAAAAACACATATCTACATCGATGTCAACTACTTGCTCTCTTTCCGTAGCAGCACGCGCCCGCACCGCAGGGCCTAGCGCATCCCCAATCTGAAGCAGGTGCTTGATGCTTGGGCTATACGCGCCAACGCGGCGCGACGCTGTGGGCTTGCAATGTTGGCAGCAAAGGGAGCACAAGATTGACACGGACTGTAAAGGCTTTCGCATTAACTCAAAATCTGACAGAAGGGCATGAGTGAATATGAACTATCGGACCATAGCGCTAGATGAAGCCTGCGGCTGAGAGTCGCGACCAGTGTTTATATTGCAAGAAATTCCTATCATCGAGGATATTTGTCAAGGATAGACATGAGTATTCGTTAAATTGCTTACATAAACTGAGGTTTTTCTCGAGCGTTGCTGCAGCTATTTCTTCAAGCAAAAAAGCTATGCATCATGAATTCGATCAAGATTCAACAAAATCAAGATCAAAAATCGGTTGCAATTGCAATTGCAATTCATTTCCGATGTTGGATCATCGGAATTCATAAAAGTATGCAGTATAAATTCTACGGCAGTTTTTCTGGACGCTATTGTGACAAACTGTTAGCATTCAATATATTATGTTGAAGTATTAGACTATCAAGCATTCGAAAAGTCAAAATACATGTTGCAGTTTTGAACAGTGGTTATTTTAAGACTTTCTCTGTCACGAGGTGAAAATCTCTAAAAAGGACAGCAAAGAGAAAACAACCACCATTGTTGAAAACTACCGGCTTCCGGTGACAAACGAATAATACAATTGCAGCCATTCAAAATTTTAGATTCTTAATACTCAAAGTTTTTCAAGTCCATGTTGCTATCATAGTTTGGGTGATACATGAATGTTGAAATAACATCAACTGAGACTTGCGATGTTCAAGAAGTTACTTGCATAGGTCCAAATATATCTTGTTAGCGAGAACCAACTGCACTTAAATTCGCATTCTGGTTGCTTTTTATTCTGTAAAGAAATTTGATGCTTTATTCGGCCATAATTTCGTTCAAAATAGCATCAACGACGCACAATTGTAAAGAACTCAAAACCAGACCATATTATAAAGCTAGGACTGATCAAGCTCACTAATGGGCACTTGGCAGAACCGAGTCGCATGATTCCGTTTTTCTTCTTCGCAAGATGTGTTTTTGTGAATGCAAGGAGATTGTTTTAGGTCGGTATTCGTTCTGGTGATGTCTTTTTTGGATGCACTTGGGCAACCAAAGAAGTTTTTTGTTATTACCGGAAGCAAGACGTCAATATAGATGAAGTTGAAGAAAAATTGGCTAATCTTGTGAAAAGACTTCAAGAAGAGTTCGATAAGGAGAAGGAAGCGAGAGCAAAGAAAGAAAGCGATCCCGAAATCTCATAGGCACATCCATGTAGGACCCTGGGCATATCACACGCAATTTTAGTCGCTACGCGATCTGGTCATACTCCAATCGTGCATAACTCATCGTAAGGGTTTCTGAATGTACGAGAGACAGGGCATTTTTAATCTATGAAAGTTGAACATGCTGAGCACTTCGAGTCCGCAAGTATTGAATTTGAAGACATCTGGCTAATTGCCAGATCGCGTGGCGGGTGAAATCGCGTGAGGTATGCCCATGCCCTAAAGGATATAAGGCATCACGATGTCAATAAAGCATTCATTTAGCAATGTTCTGGTATTGCGAAATTATGACAACTGGGCCGATAGTAATCTCCCCAACCTGGCGGCAGGTCTCGTTGGCAGGTCGCTGGCACCTTTTACGTAAGGTGGCCAGAAAGTGAAACCCCAAATTTAGGCCGTCCCAGGCCTTTTTCCACAAAATTTTCGCGATAAAGATGCCGCCTCGACTCTATAGAAAACCCCATAGAAATTTGCGGTTTCAGAACTTCTCCTTCAGGAAAATATCTGGAAGCGTAAGGGGAGCTGCCGGCAACTTCGCGAAGTCGGTTGCCGGCAACCTGCCGGCAGCTCGTTGAAATCCGCGAGATGGCAGCCGCCGGCAGGTCAGAGAGCACGGGAAATAGCCTGCTCTTTTGAGAGAGGGAGCTGCCGGCATCGCGACGTGCCCCTACCACGTCGAGGTGGTGGCACCTTTGCCGACGGCGTCTGTGAGTTTGGGTATTGCGGAATATCACACAATTTACGTCAAGCCGACGGACTAAAAAAATTTATTTTCTTTCAAAAACAATCATTTTTGTCATTATATGGGTTTTTCCTCGTTTAAATTCTTTATATATCTGTAGAAAAAATGGCTAATAATATTACAAAAAGAGAAAGAACGCCATCTTCTTCTTGCAATTCCTTTAAACCTTTTTGCAAGTTTTCGCCTCTCTCTCGCTCATATCAATCAGCTGCTCTTTCAGGTCAAAGTCTCTCACGCAATGTATCGATCCCTCTTACGGGCGGCCACTTACCAGTGCGTTCCTCCTATTGCTGGTGCAAACGGCAATGGCTGACCGAGTGGTCGAATGGTTAACGGGTGGCACTTGAAGTTAACGCGCGTAGGTTCGACCGCGCGCGATGTAGCAGTTTTGCGGCTGTCTGCGTCATCAAAATTCAATGTGCGAAATGATTGCGTACTAAGGTTATATAAGATTATTATCATAGCCTACAATCACTCCGCGAGCTGCCGGCGGAGTTGGCATCTTTCCGCGATGTGTGCCAACTTGCCTGCATCTATGATGCCACCAGGTAGGGTAGATTACTACCGGCCCTGAACCAAAGTAGCAAGTCAGCAATTCTTTTTCAAAGATCTTCAGAAGGACCGCTACTCTTCCGCTGATACACGGCGATCCAACATTGCTGAGCTTTGACTCTCCCGCAGACGCCTCGCTTGGCTTTACGCGGTATTACGATCTTCTTTTCCTGGTATTTTCCCGGCATATAATCGCTGCTCAGGCGTAAAAATTTGCACAGAAGATAAGATCGATCAAGGCCATGCAAGGATTGCGTGAAGGCTGAAGCCGCCCGAGCTGTGACATTGTCGCTGAGACAAACTGTACACATCACTTAATACGATATCTTTACTTAGGACCTCTGGCTGCTAGAAATGAAGTTTCTTCAAGAAACAGCACGAGAGTAGCGGTATTTTTAAATGACAAATCAACATATGGCAAGCTATTCGGTGCAAAAGCCGGTAGTATGATTTCGTGGTGATTCGCTATATGAGAATTAGGTTCCCGAAGAATATCTGGCATACATCGCACAGAATAGGTGTGTAGCCGAATGTAATCAAAGTATACGAGATGCACGACTGCATAGTTAGAAAAAATATGCGATGTTATAAACTTGCTGATTAGTGTTGAATAATTAAATGCGTAGATACTCGATTTGTTCTAAAGTAAGTTTGATTACGTGTAAACGAAAGCTGGATATTGGAAGCAACAGTCTCAAACTTGGAGTATGGATGAACGATCAACATGATATTAATTACTTTTATATTTAGGTCCTAACAAAAATGGACCCCTTTTTCTTGGCCTTCTCAGGCCCTTTGGTTTGACTGGAGTTAGACTTCCAAAAATGAGAATTGATGTCAAATAGAGCGCTTGTCTACATAGTTCTGAAAGGGTGATCCGGGGAATTACAGTCAGGGGTCATTTGGATTTTTGTTTTTGCTTTTGAACAAGCACAACTTCTTGTGAAGCGATCTTAGAGAATCAATAAATCCCAAAAAAGCGCTTTTGACTAGCATTTTCAACAGGCCTGTTACTTGTAAATAGGTTCCGAGGAATTAGAAAAAATGGTGATTGGTAAAGGAAGATTTTGAAGAGTTGAATAATAGAGGGGCCTTTTTCGGAGTTCACCTTCCTCATGTGTTTTGGAGGCATCGCAAACAAGGACGACATCTCCTACACATAGTTGCATGTACGACTCTGCCCATTTTCCAAATACTAACAGACAGTCTTGGACCGATACCACATCTAAGAAGATTATAGCGTACAGGATCAGCAGGAATACATTGATTTGAGTTTTCAATCTTTCAAAGTGAGGACTATTCGTGGCCACGTTTTTGATGCTTGTTCCAGATGCATTATAAGGACCTCCATCTTATAGCGGCACTTGGCCTATTTTTTGTTATGGGTATCTATCGAGGCCGAAGAGGGATTATGATACTCCAACCCGTTGCTAATTTTAAGCAACTACAGTTGCGATTTGCTATAAGATCCCTGTGAACTACCCATTTATAAGACAGCAATACTTTCCAGAACATGGAAAAATATTAGCTTTCGCTCCTCTAGATCTATACTTTTTTTTATTTTCACCAATAAAGAAAGAGGTAGACTTGGCAAATGTACTGCGCATTATTCTTATTCATTCCACTGCCTTACGTTCAAGTTTTAAGATTGGAGAATGCGATTTTTCGAAAATCGCGTATTCGCATGTCGATTTCACGCTCTGAGCTCCCCTATGGGGCAATTTCTGTAGGGATGATCGGACCTCAGGAACTAGAAGATTTTTCCAGTAACCCACATACATCAACACCTACTAGCGCTTTGACACTCTCAAATACGGCATCAATGCCAAGGGCGTAAAAAGCGAAAAAAAATTTTTTCGAATGAATAAGCTAGTATACTTTGCCGCAATGCTATGCTCTTTATACTCATTTTACCAATGATCCTGCAAAACGATGCTTTTCATTTCATTTCATTTCATTTCATTTCATTAGATACGCTCTAGGCGTTCCAAAGCACTGACAAAAATGTGTTAGTAATACATGAAACACAACAATAATGAACATTTCACCACATCTTTCAAGCCCAGACTAAGCTTATGAGAGAAAAGATTGTGTAGAAGCAGCTTGCGTAAACGCGTATAGATAACAATGCTTGCACTTGCGTGAACTCTATGGGAAAACACTCTGGAGAAGTACCCATGCCCCCTCGTTTGCCAGCAAGGAACGATCTTATTTTGATTTCATAATAGCAAACCGGAAGTTCGGCTGGCGGGTATACTGGCAGCCCCGCCCAACACAGTTTGCCGGGGAGGGTACAAAGCTCCAAGGAAATTAGAAATATATTGTAAATCGGACAAGCATCAGTCTATGTTGGTAAGCTGTACCAAACTAGTGCGTGGTAGTAGGTAGGCTGGGCTCGAAATTATGCGGTAAAAATCTGGGTTAGTAGAAGAACAAATTTAGCAAAGTAGATATAAACTAAGATTGTCGGACGCATGCACTGATGGGAAGTCAGGAAAGCACGTGTGGCTGGCAAAGTGAGCATAAAACAATGAAGAGAAGCTCTACCTGCAAAGAAAGAAATCATTCAAGTTCAGCTTTTTGATTTCACGTTTGAATGATATACTATTTTCGCAGGCTAAAGGTTCTTTTGGTATTTTTTCCAGCATTCTCGATGCATGAACAAAAAAATCGCTTTCTAATAAGGTGCAAAACTGATTTCGCCCACAGCTTGTTGGTAGATAAATAGAAAATCCGTTGGTCCTTCCATGACTAGGCTTGAATACCCAATACTTGGAAGGACTCAGTTTAGTTTCTCCCCTGTAAATCCTAAATGCAAGAACAAGATCGTGAATAACTCTACGATATGAGAGGTATTCAAGACAAAGTGTTTTCAAGCGTTCATCATAATGCGGAAGCAAATGTGGATATGATGGATTCGGAAAACAACGATAAAAGAGAAGTTTGGTAAAGACTCTCTGAACACTCTCCAGGGTCTCTGTGTGCTTCCTAAGAGAGGGGCTCCAAACAGGACTTGCATATTCTAATAAAGGGATTACGTATGCTTTGTACAATTTGACCAGTATTTTGACGTCATTGACTTTAATATTGCGAAAAATGGTTTTAAAAGTTGAAAAAGCTCGTGAGGTAACAGTTGAAACTTGCAGATCAGGTTTTAAGGTGTCGTCGAATACGACTCCCAAATCCTTAACTGATGTTTCGATAGATAGCATGACTCCAGCGTGTTCATAATTGGCATCGCTTATCGCACCAATATGAAATACGACACTTTTCTTGACGTTTATCGAGATATCCCAAATTGCGCACCATTCAATCATACGGTCGATGGCGCGTTGTAAAGCATCTTTGATAACTGCGCGATTGCTGTCATCATAAATCCCGTATATTTTTATGTCATCGGCGTACATTAGTACGTAAATATCAGGATGAGTTTTCAAAATTCTGAGCAAGTCGGCGGTATAGATAATGAAGAAAAGAGCTGAAAGAGCACCTCCCTGAGGAAGCCCACTTGTACATGGAAAATGCTCAGAGTGATCTCTACCAACGCGGACAGTCATAAATCTAGAGTGAAGATAGGATTTGATTAATTCCATTAGAACTCCTCTGATGCCATAATGCTCCAGCTTATATAACAATTTATCATGACTTATACGGTCGAAAGCTTTGGAGAAATCGAAATAGACTA